AATTATTATCCAGCCTAACAGGCTATGTTGCAAAGCAAGTCAAACTAGAAAAAAAAATCCTCTCACAACTCACTAGGTTTAATTAATATTTCTGCAAATGAAGCCATTATGATTCCAGCTGGTCAGATTAAGTCAGATTTTTTTGTGTATAAACAACAAGAAACACATTTTAAAGTAAACACAGCTTTACTTTATGAACAATAGGGTCTTGTCTCCCACACTAATCAAATTAATAAAGAAGTAATATTTGGGGGAGAAAGGGAGAAGATTGGGACAGGGGTTGAAAGTGTGCTGCATGGCATATTAACAATGCCATCTTGCTATCCTGAATCACAAAACAATGTGTGGAGGTACTGTGATGCCATTTCGAATCCTGAGCACCCCGATGCCTTCCATCGCAAAACAGGGGCACACAAAATCCTGAAAGTTGTTGTGGAAGGTATGCAAGTGTTGCTTGATATCAGCATTAAAAAATGAGAGAATCCCTTCATCGTAGTCCAGCAAAAGGCCAATCTTCTCAGGAGGAACTGTGATCTTGATGTCAGGTGTCATCCCATTATTGAGAAATTCATAGAGGTGGCTGCATAAGGAGAAAGAGATCAGAAAATTTAAATCATGGAAGCCCAGGACCTTGACAGCTTTAAAGGCACAACATTATTATCTTCAGTTCCCAGAATTGGCCCTGACTGGCTGGGGAATTCTGGCAGTTGAAGTCCACAGGTCTTAAAAGTTGCCAAGGTTGGATAACCCTGCTTTAAATGGTAAATTGATATTAGCAAGAAGTCCCAGAGGTACTTTGTCAAGAGGCATCTGGACTTTCTGTTTTTTCTTTGAAGATGTTTTGCTCCTCAACCAAGAAGTTTCTTCAGCTCTGGTGGGGAAGGATTTATACAGGTTAGGATTAAGAAGCTTCTTGGATGAAAAGCAAATGTCTTCAAAGAAAAACCAGAAAGTCCAGTTGCTTCTTGAAAAAGCACCTTTGGAGACAACCGTGACCTGAGAATCTCCACAGATGTATCAGCAACAAGCAGTATTAGCAAGAAGTGAAAAAGTTGCCCATTTCCAGCAGATCTAATTGCCCACAAGGCTTCCTAAGGAAGGACCTACTCCTATAGGCCTGTATTCCACATCCTGAGATCAGGGGTGGGCTGGGCTGCTGGGCGGTTCGCAGGGGTTTAGGGGAGCCCCTAGCTAAGATTCTGTGCAGTTGGGAGAACCCCCCAAATCCCCCTCCTGGCTGGCCCGGCCCACCCCGCCCCGCCCCTCCCAAGAGTCCCCACACGGACCATTTTGGATGCAGGTAAGTGCAGGGTGAGCGCAGAGGCTCAGGGAGGGTGAAAAATGGGCCTCCCAAGGAGCCTCTGGAGCCCGGGGAGGCCATTTTCGCCCTCCTGGAGGCTTGAGGAAAGCCTCCAGAGCCAGGGGAGAGCAAACCCCCTCCCCCTGCCGTGGTGCCGGAAGCCAACTAGGCCACACCCACCCAGCAACCAGGCAGAGAACCGGTTGCTAAAGTTTTTTGAAGCCTACCCCTGCTTGAGGTGCTCACCAACATGTTCTCTTCAGGAGAAACTGCATCTGTATAATCATATCAGAGCTTCTTTGTCCCCCCTGAGCTTAAAGTGATTCAGGAGAATTGGATGACTGGGCTACTGTAGTATACTTCCATGGCTGAATGTGCTAAACTTTTCTCCTGAGACGTTTTCCAGAAGGGGATGATCCTTCCTATCATAAGGAATAAGGTCAAGTTGTGCGCACACTCAAAGTGTGTGCACTCATGCAAAGCGCACCCACCAAGCCACGCCCACAGAACCGGTGGCAAAACTTTTTGAATCCCACCACTGGTAGGGAAGTAGGATTTTGCAACCCCACTCCCAGCATTGTTGGAGTTAATGAGATCTGTAGCTCCTCATGTGGCCCTCAGTGCCCTCAGCTGTTTAGGAAATCCACCGAAAGTAAGAGTAAGTTGCAGTATAAAATCTTGCAAGCTGGTTGCAATGTCATCCCAAGGGTTCAGATTAAGCTGTACCTGGAGGAAGTAATGGTGTGCTTCATACACCAGGAGGAGTGGCTTTTGCCCAAATAATCCTCTCTTGGTACATTTTCAAAAGCCACTCCAATGCAATACTCAGTATTCTCATCAACATCGACCTCCCAGTAATGTTTTCCTCGGAATGGGATCGGGTATCCCAACGCAGCAATGGATCTGGCAAAAAGAGAGAGAGAGAGAAGGAAGGAATGTAGGTCAACTTGCAATATATTCGCTTTCTTGATGGAACTGAGTCATCTTCTGCATCGTCTCCTATCCCCCAAATTGGACATTAGTTGAGTTGTGGATAAAAGGATTGGATTTTTGAGATTTCCAGGGAAGAAAGGGCAAAGTAACAATTAAATAAGGAAAACTGGAATTTCACAGGAACTGGATATGTGCAAGTAGAGGCATTGTGTATGGCTAGATGCTTGGAGTAGGATTTTTTTTTAAATTCCCCATTCAAGTCGTCAACTCTCTTCCTTTTGAGAAAGATCCTAAGATACTAACTTAAGAGCTGCCATGAAGAAGTCCTGCTCTTCAACTTAATTCCCAAATTAAGGTGAACCTGGAAGTGTAGGAGAAGGAGTGACAAGAGCCTGGGATGGAGTCAAAAGAGGAATCAGCCTAGAGTCTGTATGTAGCCACAAGCGGATTAAGTCCAACCCCTCTTGAATTTCATTGGCCCTTATCTACTGTAGTGCCAAGATTGTGCTAACCATTTTTGAGTAGATTCCTGTGTATAGGCATGATTGGTAATACATCAATTTAATCAGAACTTCATTTGTGGTCCTGAATGTTTCTATCTCAGGTGTCAACCTGAGTCACAAGACAGCTTTCCAGCTGATCTCGGCCATGAGCCAGAAGGTATTTAGAGAGATGACCTTGAACGATCAGTTATAAGTAGCAATATCAACATTACTATCCACTATAGTTAGTACTTGTTTTATTTAGAATATCTTTATGCTGCCTTTAGACTACAGATGCAATACCTTAACTCAGAAGCTCTCAAATTCAGCCCCTGTGATTGTTTTTCAGCTTTTGCTTTGAGCTGTAGCAAGCAGTTTTACACTCTCCAGAGTGCCTTTGTAGAAGTTCTGGGTCGTCTCGAAAGAAAGGCTCACAAAGCAATAAAATGGGATACTAGGCATAAAGAACCCAAACCTTGTAAAACTGTCTTCCCCAAAGGGTGTGTCACTTTGGGCTCTCTTAGTTTCGTGGCAGGCCAATGTCAGCCCGTCTTCCAGGATGGACAACAAGGGATGAGCTGTCTTCTCATTGAGGGTAAATACAGTTCCTGTAGTAGGAGAATTGAAAGCTGGCTGTAAATATTCAGTCCTGTGAATTTACTTGTACTGCTCCATTTGCTCAGAAGTTCCTCCATGTATCAAGTCCCACTGCTCTCATCCAAACCAACTTTTTCAGTAAAGCTTTTAGTGACTACTTAGGGTCTTGCCTTGAAACAGATTAAACTACCTGTGAAGTTCTTGCTGCTCTCTGAGTTTGGTGGTTTTCTTGCAGATGTTTCATGACCCAACTATGTAACATCATCAATGCTACAACACCCAGAGTAGCAGAGATTAGCACCAAGATTAACACTAGACCAACAATCAACAAGTAAACAATATTAATGCACTGATGATGTTTCCTAGTTAGGTCATGAAACGTCTGCAAGAAAACCGCCAAGCTCAGAGAGCAGCAAGAACCCCACAGTTGAACTCTGAGTTGCAAATATTCTCTCTTCTATTAGATTAGACTACCTCTTAGTCAAAGTGTATACAGGTCATCCTTGACTTATGACCACAATTGAACTCAACATTTCCATTGCTAAGTGAGTCAGTTATTAAGTAAATTTTGCCCCATTTTACGACCTATCTTACCAAGTGAATCACTGCAGTTCAGTGAGTAACTGAACTCAGCACTCAGTGAGTAACATGGTTGTTAAGTGAATCTGGCTTCTCCATTGACTTTGCTTGTCAGAAGGTCTCAAAAGGAGATCACGTGACCCCGGGGCACTGCAACCGTCATAAATATGAGCCAGTTGCAAAGCGTGTGCATTTGGATCACATGACCATGGGGATGCTGCAGTGGTTGTAAGTGTGGAAAAATGGTCGTAAGTTTCTTTTTTTCAGTGCCGTTGTAACTTTGGTCACTAAATGAACTGTTGTAAATCGAGGACTACCAGTAAACACCAAATGTCCTCATTGGCTTCCCCCTTTTTCTCCTTCTTCTGTGACATCCCAAGATACCTCCAGACACATCGGTGATGCTAAGGTCAACATAATATCAACATTGACTATGACTTGAGCCAACTTAATGCAATGAGTTGGAGGGAAAATACCATTCTAGCTTTCACCATCCATTCTTCTTTTTTTTTAATACAAGGTTTTTTTTTATTTTTAACAACAAACATAGACAAATGTAAACATAAAACAACAAAACAAAACCATCTTTCAATTGTACAGTGTGTCAGTTGATACACAATTCTTGTGCACAATATATATATAATTTTTCCTCTTGAATTCAAATTTACATTCATATTATATTAATCAATTTTCCATATCATATTATATTATGATTTCACCATCCATTCTTCTTCCTCTTTTTTTAATAAAAAGTTTTTTATTTTTAACAACAAACATAGAGAAATATAAACATAAAACAACAAAATAAAACCATCTTTCAATTGTACAATGTTGTCAGATGCATGTACCTGTCATTTCTTCAATGGAAGAAGAAAAGGGGGGCGGGGGGGAGACTGATAAAGAAATCCTCCTTGATGTAACCTGAATATATTTAATCTTATTTGGAATTTGTATAACCTACACATGATACAATGGAGGGATGAAACCCAGATGGCCGGAACCTATCACCTCTGAGAGCAGCCAGGAGATGAAGAGACCATAAAAATTCCACAGTGAGATGTGTCCTGGGAAACTCTGGAAAAGATCATTCTAAAAAGGGGGTGAGGGGGAATTAACAGGTTGGCTCTTTGTTTTACTAAATGCAGATCAAGATAAGGGGAGGGGTTTTAAACTCCCCTATCCATCTCTGCATGCCTGAGAGACCTTAGACGCTGCTTTTAACCCCTACATGAATTGTCTCATCTCAATAAAGGACTTCTTTTGATACGTTTTGATACGTTTTCAGAAGTTCATTCTAGTTGATCGAATGGGAAAAGTTCTGTACCCTGACAAGTGTGCCGGTTGGTACACAATTTTTGTTCACAATATATGTATAATATTTTCCTCTTGAATTCAAATTTACATTCGCATTATATTAATCAATTTTCCATATCATATTACATTATTATTTCACCATACATTCTTGAGACTACAAAAGAGCCGGTGATTTTACTCCAAAATGAATAAAGTGTTTTTGGAAGTGGGGGAGGGTAGAAATGGAGGTATATGGGAGAGTATTCCCCACTTTTTTCTCTATTTGAATAGCATTTGATTCCCTTCAAGAGGTGCTGAGATATCCTTGTAACCCAAGCAAACTACTTGTGAAGGGTCAAGGGTGACAATGAGTGATGTGTCTCAGAGTCAGTTAGCTGTCAGTATTCCAAAAGTTACCCCAATTAAATTATGAGTCTCGAGCCAAACTTCCAAAACTTCAAAAGGATTTATTGGGAGTTAAAAGGTCCGGCATTACCTGGGTGTAGCCAACTCTGAGACACATAATTCATTGTCATCTTTGACCCTGGTTTTCCTCCACCCTCTGGGTGTATCGTAATTCATATTCTCCAATGGGACACGTCCATAGCCAAGAGATATCAATCATACTCTCCAGTTAGAATTTTGCGCGGCAGAAACTTTAGTCACCTAGTGACTGAAAACTACTGTGTTTCTCATATAATAAGGCTGGGTCTTATTTTTTTTTTTGAGCCCCGAAAAAATGGCTAGGCCATCTTTTCGGGGGTGACTTAATTTCCACCCCCTTGCATCTTCGGGCAGGCGGGCGGCAATGGCTTGGATGTTGACCTCGGCTTTGGTGGGGCACTTCGTATTGGAGTCAACGCAAGCAGCACCATATCCGGGTGTGCAACAAAAGTACTTCCTAACGGCAAGCCCCTCCACCATTCCCCCACATTTCGCATGTTTTAATATAGGCCTTAATTTGGGGGGAGGGGCTTAATTTCATTTCATGCCTATAAAACATGCTGGGACTTCCTATTGGGGGAGGCCGTATTGTTGGAGAAACAGGGTATTTATGGAATGCACTTTGAAAACTATTTATGGAATGTACTTTCGATTTCCAAGCTGCCACACTGCTCCCCCCTCCCTTTCTGTTGGCAACTCTAAAAAGACCAGAGAAATATTTTATGAGTTGACACTTACTGTTTCCATACAGCATCTCTGGATTTTTCCCCCCATTCTGCTTATTTTTGGAAATAAAGTAAAACAATTTTCAAAAGCACTACTAGAAGAAAAGTATGCCACCATTTGCAAAGTGTACATGCTAAGAGTACATTCTGATTACCTGTGCTAAGGATAGAAGCTGGCTCACTCCTTTCACTTGATCCTCCTATATTGAGGGCCTTCACAAATAGAAGATAACTTTGTTTTGGCTCCAGCTGAATCAACGTCTCACAGTTTGGAATTCCAACAACAGATCTGAGGGGGAAAGTGGAAAAAATGCTTAGAGTCACATTTGAAAGAAGGAATAAGGGTTTTTTGTGTGTGTGATCCTGGGAATCTCAGAAAGAGTTGAGAAGTAACACAGAAAGATAAGTACCTCCCAATTCTCTTTTGTACCATACTGAAGATCAGAGATTAACATGAAAGAAAGCAAAACAAGCTTTATAAGGTATTTCTTTTATTTTTATTTGTTTGTTTGTTTGTCAAACATGTACAAGATAACAAGTATAGGAATGAACATGAACACGAACAAAGGAAGAAAATACAGATAAACGGGGACAGTAAGACAGGGACGGTAGGCACGCTGGTGCACTTATGCATGCCCCTTTTAAGGACTTCTTAGGAATGGGGTGAGGTCCACGGTAGACAGTTCGAGGTTGAAGCTGTGAGGGGTTGAGTTTTTAACAACAGAATTGGGTAGGGCATTCCAGGCATTGACCATTCTGTTGCAGAAGTCATATTTTCTGCAATCAAGTTTGGAGCGGGTTACCCTGAGTTTGTGTCGGTTGTTTGCCCCTGTATTATTGAGATCGAAGCTGAAGAAGTCATTGACAGGCAAGATGTTATAGCAGACAATTTTGTGAACTATGCTTAGATCGGACCACAGGCGGTGCAGTTCTAGATTATCCAGGCCCAAAATTCCGAGCCTGGAGGCGTAGAGAATTCTATTATGAGTAGAGGAGTGGGTATCAGTATGATTACTAGCTCAGTCATAGATCTGGTAACTGATCATGGCTTTTTTCCACCTAGAAAATCTATTCCAGTGTCCAGTGCACTACAGTGCCTTTGAAAATTTCTATCAGTCGTTTGCCTCCTTGGGTAAGCTGATCATCCCCGTGCATAGCAGAAACATCACAGCATAATAGGGAACCTTCTATCTGTGAAATTGACCAAGGGATTAAGAAATTGACCAGAGAAAAACAAAGTACCAAGGAAATGGTGGGAGGGAATTAGGACTCCCTTTCACATCTCTGCTTCCTTGATAAGCAGGAAATAATTCATTTCTCTAACTAACAATAAATAGGAATGAATATTCTGTGTGTGTCTGCAGGCAGAAAAGTAAGAGAAAGAGAGAGAGAGAGAGAGAGAAAGAGAGAGAGAGAGAGAGAGAGAGAGAGAGAGAGAGAGAAAGAGGAAGGAGGAGATAAACAAACAAACAAACAAATGCCCTGGATCAGTCATTGGTAGCAAAAAACCATTGAAAAAAAACCTATTTTGTCTATAATTCTTCTTGCTCACATTCCAGATGTGCTAGAACTTACATTTTAATGCTGATCCCTATTGGGAAATTGCAACATTTTGGATAATGACCATGGGCAAAAGGAGTTCTAGGATTGAATATTTCTTTTATGTTCCCTTTGACCTGTGGTCCCAAAGCTTTCAATAGTTGCTTCTTATGAGTATGATTCTACTAAAACAGATCCAGTGTATCGCTGAATATGACCATGAACTCATGATATGGTACCATATGGGCAGAACAAACTCTGTGCAACTTACTCAGTGAGAATTTCACCTCCATCTCCGCCAGCCACCTTAGATAATTCAACAGTGTAGGAGTCCACAGGATTAGTATTTCCACATTCCCATTGCACCAGTGCAAAGTATTCACAGCTCTGAATCGCCTTTTTTTTGATAACAGGTGGCAAAGGAGCTGAAAACATAGACCGTACAAGAGTCTTTTGAAGCATTAAAAAATGAAGGCTGTTTTTTGTTGAGTGAAAATCTAGACTATAAGTTACAAACACTCAAGATCACTAATAAAATATTGGGCCTTCGATTTCTAGGTGGCTTTTCAAGCTGGGAAGAGAATTCAAGGCAATCATCAATCCAAAACACATCCTTAAACGGCTTAATTAGAAATTTAGCAAACTCAATTTAAAAACCACAAACAATATTGATTTAAACTTCTTCCCCACCTTTTAATATAACTAAAGTAAGACAACAGTAAAGATAGATCATGTTTATTATATAACTAAGGTGAAACCTTTTTTTAAAAAACCACTATTAGTTAAAAAATTTAATAACCTGACTTTTTGAGAAATATTAGTACCTAAAGTCAGAACCATCTGGATAAACCTTCAAGGATAAGATTGTGATCTTAATCTCTCTCCCACAGCTTACAAAAGAAAATTAGCTTTGGGCAGACTGGTCCCCACTTTGCATATGTCAATAAAAAGTTATTGTTTTCCTAAATCAAAACCAGGGGTGGGATTCTACCGGTTTGGACCAGTTCAAACGAGCCGGTTGCTAAGTTTACATGTGGTTCACTGAACCATTAGTTGAACCGACTGGCTGGCCCCGCCTACCGTGCCCCTCCCCTCCCAGGAGTCTCCACACGGCCTGTTTTGGATGCAGGTAAGTGCCGGGTCCTTACGGAGGCTCTTGGATGGTGAAAAATGGGCTGTACCAGAAGTTCCAGAAGTCCGGAAATGGGCCTGTTTCCAGCTTCCGGTGGCCCTCTGGAGCCTGGGGAAGGCTGTTTTCACCCTCCCAGAGGCCCAACGAAAGCCTCCGGACCCTGGGGAAGGTGAAAAATGGTCCTACCAGAAGTTCCAGTAGGCCACACCCACCCAGCAACTGGGCAGCAAACTGGTTGCTGGGATTTTTGAATCCCACCCCTGACCAAAACATAATATCAGAAGCCACTTACCTGTCATATATACAGCTCTTTCGCTCTCTGAGCTGACCCCAGCTCTGTTAACTGCCTTTACCCAAAATTCGTACTGTGTGTTTGGCAACAGCTGAGCGACTGTGCAGTAGGTTTCTTTCACATTTAGCTTAAACTCTGCAATTGGAAAGTACAAAGATTGAAGGAGTTCTTTGAAATTGCAACAGATTCTTAAGTAATATCTTATTTCATTCAGGAGGAAAGGCATATTATGTTGCTGTTACTCTTTTTTAAAGTAGGATTGGCCTGAACAAGCCACAAATTGTGGTTAGCTCCCAGGTAGATACTTTGCTGATTTCCAGAACTCACATTGAAAGATTTAATGGCCTGGGGGACAAAATAGCAAGTAAAATTTATTAAACCTCCACTAACTAGAGCAACCAGGATGCTTAGAAGAAAAGCAGCAGATAAAATTACAATAAAATCAGCAGGTTGCCAGGATGGAAATGCCACCTTAATTTCTGTCTTGCCAGATCTACCTCCAGGGCAGTCTTTAGACGTGGTGGGTTGTTTTTTTTTTTTCTCATTCTATCTGATCTGGCTTTAGTCTCTTTACCTTCTTCCCCCTTGCTTGATGTATCATTGCTCACTCGCTTGTAATAGAGTTGGTAGCTTTCCACAATATCTTCTGAGAAAAAACTCCAGCAAACTTTCACAGACGTCCCCGTAGCTGAATTGGGATCTTGAGCATTCATCACTGGTGCACAAGGGGGTGTAAAAGCTGCAATCAGAAAGGGAGAAATCTGTTTTTAGATTTTGCAAAAGAAGACAGGAAACTTCCAGAGTTTGGTATTTGCTCCTTGGTGAAAACTGCCATGCACCAGGATGGAATTTAAGCGAGACTTTCTTTTCTACCAAAATCTGTATTACTTCTATGAGCATCTGTGAGAGAGGCATTTTGAGAGCAAGAAATTTTATTAGCTACATTTGTCACAAGGAGACACATTCCTTGTGTGTCTAATCACACTTAGCAAAATAAACCATTCTGTTATGTTCTGTTCCATATCTTCTCTTCTCTTCTCTTCTCTTCTCTTCTCTTCTCTTCTCTTCTCTTCTCTTCTCTTCTCTTCTCTACTCTACTCTACTCTACTCTTATTATGTTTCAGCCAACTTCGTGTCCATTAAGTCAAATCATTTTTTTCTTGTCTTGACCAGACCTACTTGATTTTTCTTGATCAAATCTACTTTTTGCTTGGCCAGAATGATTTGATTGGCCAAGCCTACTTTTTGAAGTATGGCTTCCATCGCATCATTGAAAACTTATCGTGGTTTTCAGGTGAAACACGTTGCACCTCCCCAACATTCATTTCCTTGCCTGATAGGATTCTGCAGTCAACTGAGTGCACAGATATTTCACTGATGGAGATCTCATCTTTTTCTTTTTGCAAATTGATGGATTGTCCAGATTTGCTGATATGTTGAGAAAGATATAAGTCATGGACATATGAAGTTAGAGCAACCATAATATAAATCCTCCAGTAGTTTCTCATGCAAAAGAAACTTCTCTGGAGAGTTTAGTATAGTATTCTAAACTATGCATTTAAAGCACATCATCTAGGAAATAAAGTCACCAGCTTCCAACTCAACCTATTCTTTGTATTTGGTACCCTAATGGACTTACTTGGGGAAGAGCTAACAGACTCCAGTAGTTCCTGAATGTCTGAGAAATGAATGATTCGGTCTTCAAACTCGGCTGGAGTTGATAAGTCTATACTCACATTCTTTTTCAAGAAGGTATGTACTCTGAAAATGCCACAAAAATCAGCATTAGATGGCTTGGGTTGAGATTTATGCTCCAAAACATTTCTACTACATTATATATTTAATGCATGGGCTGCACCCATCTATGCTATACGGAATCCATTTACAAAGAAATATTCATAAGGGACAATATTAAAATCCCAAGTTAAAAATGTTCGTTAAGAATTACAGACTTACAGTAATGTGTTGTTGTTTTTTAATTAAAAAATAGTAGTTCAAAGATACAGGCAAGTTCAAATGAGGCAGTGCTTCTTGGAATAGAGCTGGAAGGGACCTTAGAGGTCTTTTAGTCCAACCCCCATCTCAAGCAGGAGACCCTATACTATTTCAGATAAGTGGCTGACAATTCCTTTTCCCACAGAAGCTGTAACTGTTTTAATCTATTGTTGGCCATTTTATGCTGAACAGTTAGAGTCTTCTACAACTACAGCTAAGAATGTTTCTGGTTTCTATTTAAAAGATTATAGGGGGAAAGTTAGGCGAGTCTCTACAGCACCAGCTGAAGGCAGGACAAGAGGCAATGGGTGGAAACCAATCAAGGAGAGAAGCAACCTAGAACCAAGGAGGAATTTCCTGATAGTTAGAACAATTAACCGGTGGAACAAGTTGCCTCCAGAAGTTGTGAATGCTCCAACACTGGAAGTTTTTAAGAAGAGATTGGATAAAATATAAAGACAGATAGATAACTCTACAAATTCTTCCATGCAAAGTTTCTTTTATTGGATTATATTAGGTATCCTCAAGGTAACTCACTGTTATGTCGAGATGCATCTAGTGTCCAATTCTTTGCATAGTTGAAATTGTAGTGTAAAATGATAGTAATCTTTCCCCTATTTCATCCCATAGTAGTAGAGCCAAAGGAGAGATGCTAGCACGATGCTAGGGTCCGAGCAAGAGTGGAGAAACCTCCCCCAACCCACCAAGGTTCAATTCAGTGACCAATCAGGATTACAGATGTGACCACATGACATGGACTACATTTCCCAGGATACCTTAACTACATTTACCATGATGCATTCCCTTAAGGGGACAGCTCCCAATTCCTAACTAACTATCCCAATTCCCATATACTGGCTGGGCAGCACAATAACCATTTGTCTGAAATAGTATAGAGTTTGGGGATTGGACTAGAAGACCTCCAAGGTCCCTTCCAACTCTGTTATTCTGTTATTCTGTTACAGTGGCCATCCTCACCAAGACTACCATATCCCATATACCCATTTGCTCAGCTGGTTGCAATAGTGACATCCTTGGTCATTTTAAAACTTACATAAGGTTGATGTGGAGCTAATCATCGCAAACATAACAGAGCCCAGTAATAAATGTTCAGAAACTGGAAAAGATTCTGTTGATTGAGCCTCATAGCAAGCCTGACACCAGCATGCTTGAATTTTATTTATGTAACCCCTACCCCATATCAATAGATCTCAGAATGCAATATAATTATAACTGAAATGAAATGAAAAACAATCTAGATCACCAGAAAATGGAAACCCAGCTGCTTGGCACTGCAATGAAAGCCAAATTAGTACCAAACCAGACTAAGAAAAAATATTTCCACAATTTTATATAGGCAAAATTATATCTATTGCTCCCAACTGTAGTATACTGCATGCAGTGAAAGCCAAATTAGTACCAAACCAGACTAAGAAAATTTTTTTCCACAATTTTATATAGGCAAAATTATATCTATTGCTCCCACCTGTAGTATACTGCATAAACTAACAGTAAGGCCAAATGTTAACATTTTGGCAGGATGACTATAGAAAGGAAAGCTCTTTAAAATACATGTTTCACTCTTACCTCTGAATTGTTGCAACTGCAGTCTGTTGAAGGAAGAGAAATTGGTGATTCCACTAATATATTCCATATGTACACAGATACGTGCATACACACACAAGGGTAATAATGATCACTGACTTTTTTCTCTAATTAAAATTGCTGATATTCTTATGGCCAAGAAGCCTATGCATCTTTCCTCAAAAGTATATCCTGATATGTCGAACAAAGTAATTGCCTTGGAGAATTGAAAGCACAAAGCAGAGATTGAAATAATGTCTTCATAAATGTCACGAGCTAGTCTGATCAAAGGGCAGAATAGATCTCTCGTAATGCAAACCCAGAGGAGGCAAAATGAAAAGGCCCACTGCAAACAGCAAGGTATAACTTTAATAATTTTGTAATAGCAATGTAATACTTTTAGCAGAGAATTTAGAACTGTGACTCCTACAGAGGCCCACTGGTTTGGGGGAGGTGCTCTGGATCACTCTGATGATAACTGTGGTCGTAAGTCGAGGACCACCTGTACAACATAAGCTCATTCTATACTGAAGGTTAGATGTAATACTAAATAACCTTTGGATCTACAGACCATTCCTAAGAGGTCGTGCATAAGTGCACAATCGTGCCTACTGTCCCTGTCCTATTGTCCTCAATTATTAGTTCCTATTTCTTGTATTTAAACTTATGTTTATACTTGTTTCTGGTATACTGTAAGCTTTTAACAAATAAATAAACATCAAATAAACATCAAATAAATTAATAAATAGATCCACAGTGGTACCTTGGTACTCATTGGTTCTGGGAGGCATGATAAGTACCAAAAATGTTGAGTACCAAACAAATTTTTCCCACCAGGAATAATATAATGAGTCACAACGCAGCAGACAGCAACAAGTTCTAGCTTGTGCATTGAGTACCAAACAAACAATGTCCCCAAAGTGCTTTTTAAAGAGGCAACTGGACTTCTTTTTTTTCTTTGAAGACATTTTGCTTCTTACCCAAGAAGCTTCTTCAGCTCTGACTGGGTGGTGGGGAACAGAAGTGGGTATTCAGCAGGTTCTGACCAGTTCTGGAGAACCGGTCGCGGAAATTTTGAGTAGTTTCGAGAACCGGCAAATACCACCTCTGACTGAAAGTTTTACACTATCCTTCTCCTGCCATGCCCATCAAGCCACGCCCACAGAACCGGTAGTAAGAAACAATTGAATCCCACCACTAGTGGGGAATGGAAGGATTTATATTCCTTGCAGACAGCTGGTCATTTGCATCCTTTTAGAGGGTCGTTGGGGCCATTTGGAGACCTTTCTGTGTCCTCATGGTCTCCTGAGTAGTGCAAAGGGGTGTGGAGCCTTTTTTGAACTGCTGACAGGACTGTGTTGTAGGACTGGAGATATATGATGTCATATTCTTCCCCTTCTGTTGAGAGAGGGCCATTTATGTCAAAAATGATCATCCCTCTCTAAAAGAATGCAAATGACCAGCTCTCTGCAGGGAATATAAATCCTTCCACTATCCTATCAGAGCTGAAGAAGGTTCTTTGATAAGAAATGAAAGGTCTTCAAAGAAAAACAAGAAAGTCCAGTTGCCTCTTGAAAAAGCACCTTTGGGTCAGCCATGACCTAGATGACTGAGAATCTCCATAGACAAACAAACAATGAGGACAAAATGTTCAAGTCAAAATGTGTTGAGTACCAAATTCGATGAGTTTCAAACCAGTTGAGTAGCAAGGCAACACTGTATTCTTATAACTGAGCCTTTTTTTTTTTGTAACCAAACAAGTGTACTCTTAACACCACCATTATGTTATCTTCAGGACTTCCGTTATATTTTTCAGCAATCTCTAAAGCAATGGCTTTGAGACTGAAGGTCAAATTTCCTCCTGGATTCTTTTTGTCCTGTACCTTGAGGGCCTCTATTTTTTTTTCACCCTGGTCAAGATTTTCAATGGTTTCCATCAGTTCTTTGCACGTATCCAGGTTCTCTCCACAATCGACCAGTTCTTTGTACAAGGCTTCCAGTTTCTCTTTCTTCTCCTCCCCCAAAGCCTGCATATTTTCTTCATATCGTTGCTCAAGGATCTGTATTATGTCATCGTAACGCTTCTCAAAGTTTTGCTGCTGCCTGGTAAAATTCTCCTGGAAGGAAACATTTTGGGTTTCAGTTGAGCAGACTCACACTGTGGAGAGGGCTTTAAGAAAAGAAAATATTTTATATACTTTTATTTATACAACACCAATTTAACCCTCATGGATTGCTGCAAAGAATCCTTGCAACTCAAGTACGTTCTAGAAATTAGAAAGTGCTGGACTGCCAGAGAGAAATTAGAGAATTATTAAAAGGATATCTTAAGGGAGGAATGACCAAACAATCTTCCAGATATCTAATAACAATGGGATCTATGGCAATGACACTTAAATTATCTGTCTAGATTAGAGAAGGCTCTGGTCTTTACTCATTAACCAAAAAGTCCCTTTTTATGACCCTGTAGTCCGGATTCGGGATAATATATGAAAATATTGCTTTGACCAAAATGGTTTTTCATTTGGATAGTTTTCCACTTGGTTTTGTCTGCCTCCAGTTTCTGATTATATGCACACATCTACCAGAAGTGAGATGCTGTCATGGTGAGTAAGGAGCCAATTGCATCTTAATAAAATAATATATTTTATTATTTTAATACTTTAATAATAACATAAAATAAAATACTTAATAACAATATTTTTAAAGGGTACAGATTCTTCCTTCTTAGTAGGAAGGAAGATGTAAAGACGTATTAATAGAACAGGACAGCAACTTTGGATTCCTGGAGCTAACAATATTTTTTTTTCTATTTGCTACATTTTTATTAGTTTATCATAGAATAAAATAGAAAATTTAAAAAGTAATAGAAAACTTGGGGAGAGGGAAAAAGAGAAAATATGAAGTAAAAAGAAAAAAGCACCAACTTCCAACTCTCTTTAGCACAGTAGAAAATAACAACATAGAAGCTGTTGTAAGTTAGTTGTTGTTAGTTAGAAGTTGTTGTCACAGTAGAAGATACAACCTCAACTTTTACACAAAAGTATATATTAACCATTTCTACAGCAACAAACCTATCTAATCAGCAAAAAACAAAATCAAAGTTTCATTTTATTCCCATTGCAAGCACAAAATACGGAAGCAATTTCCAAACAGAAACAAAAATTAAATATATCCTCTATAGAGGAATCAGTTTAGCCATCTCGGATTCTCCTTGTGACATTTTGACCTGTGATGTGGCATAACAACAGATTTTGAACAGTTGGAGAACCTAAACTTGAAGCCTCTGACTTACTAAGAAACGAACAATCACACCTTCTTCTTTGTCTATGCAATGAGATGGCAAGAGGCTGGTGGACCTCTAGGGTGGCCCTTCCTTTCCAGTTCACTTAGAATCATGAACTTAGCTTGCAAGAGCACCTTACCTCTACTGTAATAAAAATTTCCTCCAAGTGGCTAGCAAAACTCTCCAGGTGAGCGATTTGGTCTTCCAATCGGCCAATATTTTGCTGAAGTGCATCCTTTCAAAACAAAAAAGGGTTAAGTGGAATATTGAGTAATTTTGAAAATATTAAAATATTAGGGATTCAGCAGGGGACACTGTATGAAGAAATGCAATTGATGTTTAAAAATGTTTATGGAGAAAGTGATAAAGAATCATAAAGAGAGAATGGTATTGTTTAAAGACAAACGTGTGAACGTAGAAGAACCCAAAAAATGGGAGTGGGGAAAGATGAGTACAAATTAGGAAAATAGTATTATACACACTGATATATAAAATAATTTATTATTATTACAATGTGCATGTTAAGGTTAGAAAGACAAGGATTATGTATATTTAATTGTATTGTTAGCATTGTGGGAAAAATATATTAACCCAGTCAATACATTGTCCACAAAATATGTATGATTGTTAAAGGAAAATTACAAATAATACATATACTGTGTTTCCCCTAAAATAAGACTCTGTCTTATATTTTTATTGAATCAATAATAAAGGAAGTTGAGAAAAGAACGGAAAAAACGGAAAAGAAGCTGGAAATGGTTGGTCAGCAATTAAGAAATGTGAGTAAAGAAATTGACGACTCCTTGGTATATTTGGAAATGGATAAGGCTGAAGCATATCTAAGATTCCAAAATATAATGGAATCTAAAGAAGAGGACTTAGAACAAGTGATGGCAGGAATATTAGCAGACCTATTGGAAAAAGATAAGGACGATATTCTGAAAGAGTTAGACCAAGTATACAGAGTGAGCACAAATTATGCAAGATGACATAAACATCCAAAAGAGGTCCATGTAGATTTGCCAGGAGGAAAGTTCGAGATATTATATATAAAATTTCTAGAGAAGAAACAATTACATACAAAGGGAAAGAAATCTTGGTGCTTAAACAAATCCCAAGAAGAGTGAGAGAGCAGAGGTGAGATTATAAATTCTTGGCAAACCAATTAAACCAAAAAGGTATCATATTTAGATGGCTAATCCCAGAGGGAATGCTAATCACTTGGGAAGAAAGAAAAATTAAAGTAGACTCCGTGAAAAAAGCCCAAGAATTCTACGAATGATTGATAGGCCATGAAGAATCGAGTAGTAGAGACAAGTTAGAAATGAATTTGCAAGATGACTAAGACTACCAAAAAAATAGAGATGGGAATTGTAGGAATTAAAAAAATAAACATCAAGAGAGAGAAGAACCGAAGACACACAATCAGCCACAAAGAGAGACAGGAGTAACTACAAGACAAAGAGCAAGAGTCAATTAGGTGATGGATGAAGAAAAAAAAATACTATCAATTAACATAAATGGCCTAAACTCTAGGATAAAAAAGAAAAGAATATTAACCAAATTAATTAAACAAAATGCAGATATAATATGTTTACAGGAAACTCATATAAGGAAGGAAGAAAAAAAATATTTAGAATGCCCCAAGCTAGGGAATTTGTATACGTTGTCAGCAGATTTTAGGAAAAAGAAAGGGATAGCAATATATGTGAAAGATGATATGAAAGCAGAGCCAATTTGGATAGACCCCAATGGAAGAATTCTGATGTTACAAATTTGGATTAAATCAATTCTAATTCTACTAGTGGTAATCTATGCCCCTAACAATAACCAAAAGGAATTTTTTAAACAATTATATGACAAATTAGTGGAATTAGATAAAAGGAATATTTGTATCTTGGGAGATTTCAATGCTATTGTGGACCACCAGAAAGTTCATAGTAGTGGGAGGAAAAAGAAGAAAAAAAGAGAACTACCAAAAACATGTGAAGAAATGATGATTGAATTAAATTTGATAGACATGTGGAGGAAATTAAACCCGGAGAAAAAGCAATTTACATTTTACTCCAATCCTCACCAATCATGGACACGAACTGATATGGTGTGGGGTGAATGGTGAATTAGTAAATGAATTAAAAGAGATTGAAATTTTACCAAATGAATGGGCAGATCACAACCTGCTTCAGATAGTGTGGAAAGGCAGGAATAAACCAAGGAAAAGATCGACCTTAAATATACAGTTAATTAAAGAGAAAGAATTTATGAATAAACTTGATGAGGAATTAGACTATTTTGTAAAAGAAAATAATAATGAGGCAACTACGAAACAGAATATTTTGGATACAATGAAGGCAGTAATAAGAGGCATAATGATATCATACACTGCTAAAAGAAATGAAGAAAAATATGCCCAACAAAATAAATTAGAACAAAGAATCAAAGAATTAGAAATTCAGCTGCAAAACACCCCAAAAGATTGCAAATTGGAAAAACAGATGATAATAACTAAACATAAATTAAATTTAATCAAACAAGAAGGAATGGTCTCAAAGTTAAATACAGCCAGACAGATATTTTTTGAACAGGCCAATAAACCAGGAAGGTGGTTGGCCTATAAACTTAAAAAAGAAAAACAAAAAAGATTGATCTACCAATTAATAGATAAGAACGGGGATGCCCAACAAGGGATAGAACAGAAAAAAGAAATTGCATGTAATTTTTTTGAAGATCGTTATAAAAAGAAGGAGGTAAATAAGGATATGATAAGAAACTATTTGTGTATTACTAAAGATAAAATAATTAAGGAGGAGATGAAGGAAATGTTAATTAGAGATATTACGTGGCCTGAGTTAAAAGCAGCAATAGAAAATCAAAAGAACAATAAAACCCCAGGCCCCGACATGATACCAGGGGAACTTTATAAAAAAAATAGGAGAACAAATAAGACCTCTCATGGTGGAAGTATATAATGAGGTCCTACTAGCAGCAATAATGATGGATTCATGGAAGGAGACATTGATATCGTTGATTCTGAAAGAAGATTTCAATTCATGACATATACAAAACTATAGACCAATTTCCCTATTAAATACTGATTATAAAATATTTACTACAATTATAGCAAATAGATTGAAAAAAATATTGAATGAATATATACATAAAGATCAAAACAGATTCCTTCCTAATAGACAAATCAGAAATAATTTAAGGATAGTATTAAATGTTTTGGAATACTACGAAGCCCACCCGGAGAAACAAATAGCCCTTGTATTCTTGGATGCACAAAAGGCCTTTGACAATTTAAATTGGCAATTCCTAATTCAACAAATTTACAATATGAATCTAGGCACTAAGTTTAAAATCATCGTGACTACAATTATGATTCACAAAAGACGAATATTATAATTAATGGAGAGTACACGCGCTCAATAAAAATAGAGAAAGGAATCAGGCAGGGATGTCCCTTATCCCCCCCTACTCTTCATGTTATATTTGGAAACATTGCTTACATGAATTAGACAGAACCCAGGAATAAAAGGACTAAATATTAAAAAAGAAGAATATAAACTCCAGTCATTTGTGGATGATATGGTATTTTTCATAGAGGAACCAATTGAAACAGGTCAAGAATTACTGAAAGAGTTAGATCAATTTGGGGAAGTTGCAGGACTTAAAATTAATAGGGAAAAAACAAAATTAATAACTAAAAATTTAACAGAAAAGCAAAAACTAAAATTGGAAAGGATAATGGGATTACAAATAGTAAAAAAAGTTAAATACCTAGGAATTTGGTTGATGGCTCAATGCAAAACTCTAATGGAAAATAATTATAATAAACTATTACTGCAAGTTAAAAAAGATTTAGATATATGGGTTAAATTGCAAATCTCCTTATTAGGGAGGATTGCCACTACAAAAATGAATATTCTGCCCAAATTTATTTTCTTATTCCAAACAATACCAATAAAAATACATAAAAATTACTTCATGGAACTTAACAAGATAATCCAAATTTATCTGGCAAGGGAAAAAACCGAGGATAAACCTAAAGGCAATGTAAGATATGAAGAGCAGGGGAGGTATGGCACTCCCAAATTGGGAATTATACTATAGTGCACCCTCCTTACTCTGGTTGAAAAAGTGAGTAAATCTGTCGAATAAAAGGATCTTATTTTTAGAAGGCCATGATTTACAGAGGGGATGGCATGCATTTTTATGGGACATTGGGAAAATTAAGCAGAAGTATTTCCACAGTCATATAATTCGAGATTCCTTATTGGCTAATTGGAACAAAATAAAAAAAAGATTATTTAAAAATCCCAATTTGGATCTCAACGATGGAGGCGATGATACATCCAAATAATCTAGATCTTAATAAAATGATAAAATACAAAGACCTTCTTGATGCGCAAGGAACTTTAAAATCATGGCAAGATCTCCAAGAACAGGGGCTACAAGTAGACCGGTGGGCTTACTTGCAAATTCAAAATAGATATAGCCAGGACAAGAAAATTTTTGGAATTTATACTAAGGCACAACAAATAGATAAAATTTTATTTGGTCCAGATAAAAAAAATATAACTAAATTTTATAATTATTTACTAGAGACAGAAGAGGAAGTAGTCAAAGGCAACATGATAGCTTGGAGCAGAAATAGGACGTAGCATTACATTATTAGAATGGGAAAAGGTTTGGACAAGGAATAATAAAATTACAAGATCAGCAGCATATAAAGAAAATGCCTATAAAATGTTTTATAGATGGCATCTCTCACCCTTGAGAATAGCGAAAATGTCTCCTAACATGAATCCGAATTGCTGGAAATGTAAAAAGAAACAGGGAACATTTTTTCATATGTGGTGGTCCTGCACTGAAGCCCAAAGATACTGGCATAGAATAAAAAAATGGTTAGAGGAAATAACGGCGGAGCAAACTGAATTAAAACCAGAATTCTTCCTATTGGGGATATTTAATAGACAAATTCCTAAAAATGTCAAATATATAATACTGCATATTCTTACTGCAGCCAGAACAACCTTTGCACAGTGTTGGAAACAAGCAGATATTCCAACAGAGGAGATGGTTATACAGAAGATAACAGCCTGTGCAGAGACGGACAAGTTAACTTTAGCACTTAAGGAAAAAGAAACATCAGAATATTATAGAAGCTGGGAATGCTGGTATGACTGGATAGAACAAAAATAGAAAATATATTAGTAAATAACGTAAAATGTAAATCATAATTATATATTCGCGATAAAATGTATTTGTAAATGTATCACCAATATTGATAACAAAGAACCATAGACTGTTGATAATAGAATTGTTTGTTTTTTAATCATTTTCTTTTTTTCTAATTCTTTTCTTTCTTCTTTGGTGCGTTGTGTTTGTTTGATATTTTGGTTTTGTAATCAATAAAGTTTTTTTTTTTTTTTTTAAAGGCACCAGGGCTTATTTTCAGGGGATGCCATCCACTGACTAACCTCACTTGTGCGCATCACTCCCAGCCTCCTTTTTGCTGTCAGAGGCCTTCAGGAACTTCTTCTTCTGCGGCCAGCAAGTCTTTCCTGAACGCCTCTGCAGCCGATACCAGAGTTCTGGATTGATCCAGAGGTTTCTTATCAGGCCTTCAGAGGCTTTCAGGAAAGCCTTGCCAGCCTTGCCAGCTGCAGAAGAAATGGGCCAGCAAGGCCGGTGTCAGGGTGTACGAGGCCTGGCTATGACTGTCCACAGGTAAGTAGTAGGGCAGCTCCACACACCTCCATCCCCAGCCTAGCTTAATTTTTACCTGTCCACTCTGGAGTGGGCAGGATCTTAATTAGGGCTTATTTTGGGGGGTAGGGCTTATATTGGGCATATGTGTAAAAATCAAGCTAGGACTTACTTTTAGGGTAGGTCATATTTTCGGCAAAACAGGATATCTATCTATCTGTCTGTCTGCCTGTCTGCCTGTCTGTCTGTCTATCTATCTATCTATTGCAGCCTCACCAAATGTTTATTGCTTCCTACTTGGATCGGTTTACGTGGTCCTCACCTTTGCGATTTCCACCACAGCCGCGAGAGACATGACTTCGTGCTCTTGATGTTCATTATTCTTGCTATTGGAGGGTGTCACTGGAACACAGCAAGTAATGCAATATAGTTCCTTCTCTTGGTAGGACCGTTGGCTTGCTTCCTTATCCTCAAGAAGGTCACTGTCGCTCTTCTCATTATTTTCTTTTGCATGGTCTGTGGGTTGCTGGTCCCGATCCTCCACATGTGGTGGATGTTGCTCCTCTACATCTGGGGTCTCCTTCTTTTCATGTGGAGAGAGATCTCGCCTTCGAAATGGTTCCTCAGGAAATAAATTTTCAAGGGAGTCATAAAGTTCCAAATGATAAAACCTGGGACTGTCTGGCTCATCCTTTTTCAATGGTGCATCCATAGTGGAGAAGGAATATTGGACACCAAGTCAACAGGCCCAAGGTCTTGTGTGCTGCCTCCTACCTTTCTGCTAAGAACAATAAAAGTACAACATGCAATGGAATTTATGCTTAACATCTCAAAAAGCTAAGAAGGTTCAAGTTGAGGAGCACCAGGAGACCCCGAGGAAATCCAACGAGACTGGTAATATTGGAAACTGGAGATGACATTTAGAAACATCCACCCACTTCCATTCTCTTGCCAAGAAAAATGCATAGGTGTACTTTGAAGTTATCAGGATGCACCATGGAAGAATTAGAGGCCTAGGACAGGGCTCGCCAACCTTTTGGACCTCGGGGACCACCAAATTCATAATTTTAAATCCCACGGACCAGAGAGCCTGGGAAAATCCCCCCAAAAGTCTGCAGGAGAATTCCCCACTCCATTTTCCTACCGATCGATCATTATTTATTTGGGATCGCAGGATTCGGTCTCCAGCTCCATTCTCACAGAGAGAGAGAGAGGTGGGGGGAGGGAGGGAGAGAGAGAGACTTTTGGCTTGATGCAAAGGAAAGCAGCAGAAGCAGCAAAGTCTTTCTTTCTCTCCCCCAAACTCCACCAGAAATGAGACTTTGTGAGATTTGTTTTTCTGGTGCAGCCTCTCGGAGCAGGATGCCTTGCAGGGTCCCAAAGACTCATTTCTGGCGGAGTTTGGGGGAGAGAAAGAAAGACTTTTGCTGCTTTCCTTGCTTGCAGCCAAAAGCAGAATAAGAAAGAAGCAGCCCAGTGGCACAAGGGTGAGTGGGGCAAGTTCTCCCCTTCTGCCCTTTCCACCCTCCCCTCACTAGCTCATGTTCACAATGCAAGCGACGCAAGCCTTGTGTTCCCGTGGGCCATGTGGGCAGCGCAGCCTTGTGTTCCCATGCAGCCTGGATTAATTGCTTTGGGGGTGCTTTGGAGATGACATTTCTCTGCGGACTACCAAAATTTTCTCACAGACCACCAGTGGTCCCCGGCCCACCGGTTGGCAACCACTGGCCTAGGAAACAGATAATAAGGAACAAAAAAAAAATGCAGAAACCCCAGTTAATTTCCTGATAGTCAGAGGTTGCTGGGTTGGGACAATGATTTTATGTAGGTGAAGTTCTATCATATAAGCAGATGGACTTCGTATTTTTTAGCCCCTTTCCTTTTATGGTTAATTTCCTTTCCTTTAAAAAAAAATACATCATTTTGGGCTTCCAGTGTAGCTTTTCTCTTTCAGAAAAACCAGGCTACCAGTTTTAAGCCAATATGGTCTATGGGGCCTCAGAACTTGGTTTGCTCTTAAGGGTTTCAAGGAAAGCCTTTGGCCAACTTTTCCTTTTGACTGAACTTTGTATAATAACTTAGTGTGACAAAGACAAAGGCCTGAGACCTTTGAATGCATACTCCTAGGACTCATGTCCCTGCTCAGTCCAAGGGGAAAGAATGCCCAATAAGAGTAAATAACAACAGCAAGGGACAGAATCCAACAATTTGGACCTTTAAAACCGGTTCTAATTTAAATAGAGAGCAAAATTTCTATTTTTCTCGTAGCCTTCCATTAAAGGTTGCTCCTATCAGGCAGTCAAAGAAATGCTAAATGCCATTATATACTATAAAGCCAAGCATTAGTTTCAGTTTGATTTATAAAACATAAACCCCGTGGAGATTTCAAACGTTTTTCCTACAGGCATTTGGAAAAATACGTTTGTGTGTCTAGAGCATTGTAAAGGAACACACTGCTGTTCAATGGCCCCTGACTGAAATCGATCAGCAATGAGATCTTAAGGAAAAATTGTGCACTGGGACCAACTACATGCAAACGCAGCGGCAGCACTTTTAAGCAGCTTAACTTGAAAAATTTGCATCCTTTTTAAAGTGAGGAATTATGTTCTTAAAAAGAATACTTGCCTCTTGTGTTAAGGATCCATAATTTCTTCTTAGGGTCAAATGATCGTGATGCACTTCGGTTCCTCCATATCCAAACTTGATTTTCCAAACCTTGCCATCTTTCTGTAACTGAAAACCTAGTGCTGTAACATTAGACAAGGGTTTTCCCTCCCCTCCCCCATGAATTGCATGCCAGGGAGCAAAGATAGACCAGCACCTGACACTAAAGCTCCCTTAAATGTCATGGCAGAAAATGTCACATCCAAATCCTACTGAAAACATCGAGGCCTGAAAACTTTGAATCCCAGACCCTAACCCTAACCCTAACCCTTTGAAAACGTCTTCTTTAAACCCTCTGGATGAAAGAGTGTATAAGTAGCATCCATTGCCAATGCTGAAGATGGAGAGAATTAGGAATTCGTACACTCCGTATTTTGGGGAAAAAGTCAGATTGGCAGTTTCACAGAATGCCATCTATGTATTAGCAAAACATCTACTGTGGTAGAGTTGCTAAAGAACATTAAAGGAAAGAATACCTCAAAATAGTCAATCTCTTAGCAGGAACAAATCTGAATATGAGTAATTTTGAATTTGCCTCCCAGGGTCTCTCAACAGTGAGATGGATGGCATACAAATTGAATAACTAAATAAATAAAAATATTTTTGGTTCCCCAGAGGGTGTCGTTTCTCCAGTAAAGCACAGCTTTTTTTAAGAATCTGAAGCATAGCTATTATATCCAAAAACTGTAAAAATAAAGAAAGTGTAGAATACTGTACATTCATGCTTAGTGATATGCATGGTTTATATCTGAATAATAAATGATGTTTGTCATTATCATTATCTTTCATGCAATGCTGCCAATGAAACTGTGGGAAAAAATCTGGTCCAAAGTTCCAGCCTTTAATTTCCTTTTGCTCCCATGTTCAATTTTCTTTTTCTTTCTTTCTTTCTTTCTTTCTTTCTTTCTTTCTCTTTCTTTCTTTCTTTCTTTCTTTCTTTCTTTCTTTCTTTCTTTCTTTCTTCCTTCTTTTCTTTCTTTCTTTTCTTCTTTCTTTCTTTCTTTCCTGCCTGCCTGTCTATCTCTCTCTATCTACAACTATCTATCTATATCTACAACTATCTATCTATCTAATCTATATCTACCTATATCTACAAAAATCTTCTATTTATTCATGTAGTAGGGCTGTAATGCTATTTATCCTTCTTAACTTTCCTGTTACCTTCTCCAGTTGGTATCTTATGATTTATCACTTTGTTTTTGCGTCTCATGATTTATTATTGTATTTTAGGATTTATGATTTATCACTTTGTTGTTTGAATGTACACTGTATGTTGGTATACACTGAGAATGTATGCACTGAAGGCAAATTCCAATCACACTTGGCCAATAAAGAAGAATTCTATTTGTGGGCAACTAGCAAAAATCAACAATTTTATATTTGTATTAACACCAGCTTGCGCTACCTGTGTCTGATCTTGAGCAAACACAACCCTTCCCCCGAGAAGCTATAAAAGTATCACAAACCTCAGTGTAAAACTTGTATCTCTAATTCGATTGGGCTTTGAAGAGCTATTATTGTTTGCTTGTTTTCTATGTTTCAATCTTACTAGCCTTGTTTACCATTTACAAACCATTTGAGGGACAATGTTTAAAATCCCCTAGAGGTGAAAAACTTAACATTTTCTTTTTCACACTTATTTTTATTTTATTTTATTTTAAATACAAACCATTCATCTTCCATTTAATGCTGTGTCACCTGGGTACAAATATCTTGTGCAATAACAATTAAAATTTACAGCCATATTCATTACTTTGGTATTCATTCTCTATTCTTATCTTATTCTTATCTTATTCATATACATCATATCTCTATCACTACAACACTCCCCTTCTTAACATATTTAATCCTATTAACGTATTTTCTATATTTCACAAATCTATTAGCTATTTCTAGCCTTCATATTTTTTTCTCTAGCCATCGATAAAACAGCATTTTCTAACATTGGAAAATCGAGCTGCTTGGTATTATGAACAAAATCCAAAATGAGTATTACTATTTTTTTACAGCCAGGGAGGGATGCACCCGTGACAGCCCAGCACATTAAAAGCACAGTGTGTTTCTTTTCTGATTTATTCAGCACGGCCCTTTGCAATTAGGGAGATATTCTTCCTTTTCCTGCCAGTCTGATCCAAGACACAATGGAACCAATTTTCATGTGAGCATTACATACTTAGCAAAGCATGAAAAACCTCTGCTTTCCAGTTCTTCACAATTTTGGGGGTTGTTGTTAACGGAGGTAGAATATAGAATAACAGAGTTGAGAGGGACCTTGGAGGTCTTCTAGCCCAGTGGTCGCCAACCAGTGGGCCGGGGACCACTGGGGGTCTGCGAGAAAATTTTGGTGGTCCGCAGAGAAATGTCCCTCGCCAAAGCAATTAATCCAGGCTGCACAGGAACACAAGGCTGAGCCACCCACATGGCCTTGGTGGAACACAGGGCTTGCATTGCGAACAACATGAGGTAGTGAGGGGAGGGGGGAAAGGGAAGAGAGGGGGCACTTGCCCCACATGCCTGGCCTGGCCACCGGGCTGCTTCTTTCCGCTTCTTTCTTCTTCTGCTTTTGGCTGCATGCAAGGAAAGCAGCCAAAGTCTTTCTTTCTCTCCCCCAAACTCTTCCAGAAATGAGTCTTTGGGACCCTGCAAGGCCTCCTGCTCCAAGAGGCTGCGCTGATGCGACAAGTGTCACAAAGACTTATTTTGGGGAAAGAGAAAGAAAGACTTTTGCTGCTTCTGCTGCTTTTCTTGCATGAAGCCAAAAGTCTCTCTCTCTCTCTCTCTCTCTCTCACCCCCTGTGAACCGAGTTGGAGACCGAATCCTGCGGTCCCAAATAAAGAATGATCGATCGGTAGGAAAACGGGGTGGGGAATTTTCCTGAAGACTTTTTGGGGGATTTTCCCAGGGTCTCAGGTCCACGGGATTTAAAATGACGAGTTTGTTGGTCCCCGAGGTCCAAAAGGTTCTTGTCCAACCCCCTGCCCAAGCAAGAGGGTCCTACACCACTTCTGACAAATGGTTAAGATCCTTCTCCCTCCTAAAAAAAAAAAAAATCACAGCCGGGTGGTGGGGGAGAGAAAGAGGCATTTTTGGCAGTCCTCCCGAAAGGCCGAGCTCCAGTTTGCTGACCAAATGCGGACTCGCAGCCAAGCGTCCCCGCGAGTTCAGAGCTCGCTTCCCTCCACCCTCCCGAAGCTGCCTAGCCAATGAAAGAGTCCAGACGGACGCGCGTGACGTCAAGCAGGAGGAAGCCAACCAAGGGGACTCGCTGCTGTCATCTTGGACACTTTCTCTTTCGTTCGAGGGGAAGCAAAGTTTTCCGGGCGTTCCAGACCGCTGGGAGACCCGCCGCCGCCGCCGCCGCGCGCTTTGAAGGCCCCCCCCCCCCCCGTCCCCCGGGCGCGCGTGGGAAAGCGCCTTTTGTCCCCGCCCCCACCGCTGAAGGGGTCGCCCATGGAGCTGGAGGAGGAGGAGATGCAGCCGGACAGCCTGGAAGGGTGGGTGGCCATCAAGGAGAACCTTTTCGGCCAGCCCGAGCCGCCCCACAAGCTGCGCTTCTTGGTGGCTTGGAACGCCGTGGAGAGCAAGTTCGCGGTGACTTGTCACAACCGGACTTTGCAAGAACGAGCCGGCGGGGAGAAGGAGGGAAAGGAGGAGGAGGAGGAGGAGGAAGACGAAGAAGAAGGGGAGGCCGGCGATGAGCAGCGGCTGAGCTGGGCCGGCTTGTACTCCCCGCAGGCCTTGGCGGGCGTCCACCGGCAGCTGGCGGCTTTGAACCAGCAGCTGGAGCCCTGCTTCCCCGCGCTGCCCCCCGCGCTGAGCGGTCCCAGCGGGTTCTGGGCGCTGCTGTTCCCCAGCTGCCCGGTGTTGGGGGAGACGGAGCTGGAGACCCTGTGCCGGCGCTTGGAAGTCTACTTTGGCTGGGCCTTGGAAGTCTGCGGACGGAAGACGCTCCTGGATGCGCTCTTCGCCCACGACCAGGAGGAGGAAGAGGAGTATTTCGAAAACTTGCAGGAGTTCCGGAGGAAAAGTCTCAAGGGGCGGCTGACGGCGGCCAAGGAGACCTTGAGAGGGGTACGGCATTGAAGGACGAGGAGGGAGGGAGGGAGGGACGGGTCACTGCACAACGCATCCCTCGCAAAAAGGGGCGGCGGGGGGTAAGGAGGAGGCTTGTAGTAAGAGGGGCTCTGGGGGGGCTTTTGTTTCCCTACCCAGATGGGCTAAAAAGCAACCCACGCTGAAAGTTAATCCAGATCTGGGGGCTCCAACCTTGGCAACTTTAAGACTTGTGGACTTCAACTCCCAGAGTTCCTCAGCCAAAATTCTGGGAGTTGAAGTCCACACATGTCTTAAAATTGCCAAGTTTGGAGACCTCTGATTTAAAGTTTTGTTCTTTCAAGCTTTGCTGGCTGAAGAACTCTGGGAGTTGAAGTCCACAAGCCTTAAAGTTGCCAAGGTTGGAGAGCCCTGATCCAGATTGTTGCGTGAGTCCAGCTGCACAGGAGTACAGTTGTTTTCCCCGCCTGTGAACTACAGTTCCCAGCATCTTTAGGAATAGTGAGTAATACTGAGAGACGCCAGCAGTTGTAGCTCAGCAACTGTGGCGTGCTACCAGTTGCCCTTTTCTTGCCAAGGGGTTTCTCAGCTTTGGGACGTCTATGAGGAATGGACTTCAATGCCCAGAATTCCCCCAGCTGGTGGTGGAAGTTGGAAGTCCGTCCTTCTTAAAATCCCTAAGCTTGAGAAACACAACAATGGGTCTTTAAACTACCTTTATGAAGCAGACGCTCCTGAGCCAAAGCAAAAGAAAGCACAGGACTTTAACCCTGACAAAGTCTTTCGTTAAGAGCACAGTCTGGCCTCCCTGACTGACAGGTTCCTTTTCGACTTCCATTCCTCTTCATCAGTATCCCATGCATTTGTGGCGAGAGCGTAGTGTTTGAGAAGAGAAGAGGGGCTGCAGCCATCGGCAGACGGGCTTCACCTCAACCAAATCTGGCAGAAGGTTGGTTTGGATGTGGGGATGTTTTGAACATCTCCTTGAACAGTTAACATTTCTTTGGAGCTTCGTGGTCTGGTGACATGCTGCTCTCGAACATGGAACCCTATAAATTAGGAGTCTCCAACCTTGGCAACTTTAGTTTAGTTTAGTTTACTTTATTGTCACTGCACCTACAACAAAATCAAGCACAATCTTCAGTGCACATCATGACCATGAAAATGAACACAAACACACATCCTTCACACATTGAATTGAAAACCCCTGACACCGCACCAACACTGCACTATACAGCAGAATTCAAGAGAGCTACTGCCCTGGGATAGAAACTGTTTTTCAGCCTATTTGTCCTTGTTTTTATTATTCTGCACCGTCTGCCAGATGGTAATTGTTCAAAAAAAGGGTTCCCAGGATGAGGTGGATCTTTGAGAATGTTTTGAACTTTCTTAAGGCAGCGGGAGCTATAAAGCTCTTCCAAAGAGGGGAGAGGGCAACCAGTGATCTTCTGGGCAATGTCATTAACCTCTGGAGTGCTGTCCTATCTGCCCCTGTGCAATTGGCAAACCATACACAGGTGCAGTAGTTAAAATGCTCTCTATGGTGCAGCAGTAGAAGGTCACCAGCAGTTTCTCATTCAGTTGTTGTTTTCTGAGAAGTCTCAGGTAGTATAATCTCTGCTGGGCCCTTTTGATCAGGGCTGCAATGTGGGCACCCCAGGTCAAGTCCTCTTTTAGGGTAACACCCAGAAACTTAAAACTGGCCACTTGCTCCACTCAGTCTCCACTGATAAGCAAGGGCTGGATGTCTGATCTGTTCCTTCTGTAATCCACTATAAACTCCTTGGTCTTATTGGTGTTGAGGACCAAGTTGTTGTCTCCATACCACGAAAGCAACTGGTCCACCTCATCTCGGTAGGCAGACTTATTCCCCCCCACCTCCCCGGAGATAAGTCCCACCACTGTTGTATCATCTGCAAATTTAGCAATAGTATTACTAACGTGAGTCATGCAGGCAGTCATGCACATAAAGAGTATAGAGTAAGGGATTCAGCACGCAACCCTGTGGTGTACCAGTGTTAAGAATAAGGGCTGAAGAGGTATGATGACCTAATCTGACCCTCTGTGAGCGGCCAGACAAGAAATCCATAATCCAAAGGCAGATTGGAATTCTGGGACTTGAAGTCCACAAGTCTTCAAGTTGCCAAGGTTGGAGACCCCTGCTATAAACCATGAACATCACCTGTTCTTTCAGTGGGCAGTCCCTTTGCTGGCTCATGTCAAAAGATTTTACAGTCTGGAGTCTCTTGTCAGTTTTCGACACACGCGGCAACATTCTCAGAGAAGGGGTAAGAGAGAACAAAGGAAAAACTTTTACTTTGTGCATAGCTTTATTTAAAGTTCTATGGTATCTTATTCTCCCTGCTAGATTTTCCATGCCTGTGAAAAGTTAGCAAGGCAGGAAGAACAGAGTATACTGTCTTCTCCTTAAAAAAAAAAAAAACCTCAGTATCCAGTCTCCCTTGCAAAAAGGAGAACTGCTGGTTGATTCTCAAATAAATTCTCTTTATTATCGTCTTGGTAGGTTCTCCATAAGCACAAAGATGCTGATAAGCTGGTAGATTTAATGGAGCTGTACAAGGAGGAAGATGAAGCTTATTGGGAGCTGGTGACCGTGGCAACCGAATTCTATCAATATTTATTGCTACCGTTCCGAGACATGAGAGAACTGGCCACGTTATACAGACTTGAGATTCTGGTAAGTTTCTTTTTCTACTCTTTCAAAAAAACCCACCATATTCCAAGACTTAAGGAGGTACATACTTAGAATAGAATATAATAACAAAGTTGGACGGGACCTTGGAGGCCTTCTAGTCCAACCCCCTGCTTAGGCAGGAAACCCTACACTGCTTCAGACAAATGGTTGTCCAAACTCTTCTTAAAAACTTCCAGTGTTGGAGCATTCACAACTTCTGGAGGCAAGTTGTTCCATTGATTAATCTCTCCTTGATTAGATTCCACCCATTGCTTCTTGTCCTGCCCTCAGGAGCTTTGGAGAATAGATTGACTCCCTCTTCTTTGGGGCAGCCCCTGAGATACTGGGACATTTCCATCATGTCACCCCTAGTCCTTCTTTTCACTGGACTAGACATACCAGGATTTCAACAGTATAGCTTTTCATATAAAATATCCCTCCAGAAATTTGGGTTTTTGTACAAAAGATAATAATGCAAGAAAATTTATATCACCTTTTCATCTAGATGTTCTGCTTTTGAGTTTTTGAGTTTCTTCATCTGGCAAAATTAAAAATCCAAGGTAGATGTGAGAAAAAGAACTGGGGCTTAAAATGCACCAGCACCAAATAAAAGTTTGGTCTGGGGTAGGGAGTCTATGGCCCTCCATGTTTTGTCAATCATTCCCCTGGAGATCAATTTCTGGTGGTCCTATCATCCATGAAGTCAAGCTCTGCTGATAGAGTTAGAAATCTCATGGGAAACAAGCCCATTTGTCTGTGAGAAAACTAAATTTTGTTTCTTGAAGCTGAACATATACACGTTGACTTCAAACAATAAACTTTTCTAGGATAAGCCATTCAACTGTAATTTATGGGCCACAAGAATCTGAACAGATCTCCCAAGCTTGTCCCAAGAGGCAACTGGACTTTCTTGGCCTTTTTTTTTTCCTTGAAAACATTTCACTTGTGATCCAAGAACCTTCTTCAGTTCTGACTGACTCTGAGGATACCAATAAACCCCCCAATGGCCTCAACAGCTCCCAGAGAGCTGACAGCCAACCTTCAGAGTGCTAGCAACCAGATGACTGCAAAGAATGTAACTCCTTTCATCCCTCACCATTCAGTCAGAGCCGTTCTGACCCAAACCTGGTTCCAAGAGAGCAAACACAAGACAAAGGCAGCAGCACAACCTTTTAATGTTTCATCTGAATTTTGTTTCTTCACAGATAAAAGGCTGCTTCCAACTAATTAGCTCTGACAAGAAAGAGCCTTGCCAAGTTTTTGCAAGGCTGCCATAAAAACAACAGAGAAGAAATAGTTTACAACACAAGAGACTTCAAATAGCAACTGTAATGTCCACAAGGCTGAGTTTCAAAACGTCTTTGCTTCCTGCAAAGAACATTCGCTTCACAGCTGGCTTTTATCCTCTTGAGGGAGGGGCCATTACCTTGCAGCCTTACTCCTGAGTCACCCGTGCAGCTGCTCTTTGCTGCGAGCAATCCTGAGTGCACGCGCACTTGGCACAGGCTCCTCGGGAATCTTCTCATCGCTGCTGCAATCTCTGAAGGCAGCAGTCCACTCCCTAATGGTCCTGGCCCCTCATCTGAGTCTTCGCTCTCCTCAGCCGTCCGCACCTGCTGCCGACTAACCACAACAAGAACTGAAGAAGCTTCTTGGATGAGAAGCGAAATGTTTTCAAGGAAAAAAAACAAACCCCTAGAAAGTCTAGGGGCCTTTTGGAAAAGCACTTTGGGACACCCATGAGCATTGGATGATTGAGAATCTTCGGAGACACGTCTCAGCCTTGAAACCTGCTTTCCTTTTGCATAGGGCACAAGTGCTGAATGGAGCTGTATTCATAGATGAATGCAGGTTCTAAGTGGAGGCTCTTGGTTTTGGGGAATTGACGGTCAACACCGCTTTGAACAGAGGTGTTAAAATGTCTATCCTTGCAGAAATCCTTGCAGGCCAACCGGCTGGGCCCCAAGAGGATAGAAGCTTTGCAGAAAGAAGCCAAGGAGTGGACAGACCAGGCTGAGGAAGCCGTGTGCTCCATTCGAAACATCACAGTTGGCTACTTCAAAGAAACCGTGACGGCGCTCGCAGGTGAGACAGAAAGAAGCAAAACAGACTTTCATCAACAACAAAAAATCTATAGTGGTGGCCCTGGTGGCAGTGTAGGCCGGGGTAGGAGAGTAGGCACAACCCAAAATATGGTATATGGAAAAACCGGTGCATTTTGAATCTGTTGCTAACCGTCTCCTAAATACAGTATATTAAAAACAAGAGATGCTCCATTCATTAGCAATTTGTAATAATTTATTTCCTCAGCAACTCTTAGTTTCCTAGTTGTTTCTCTTCCTCCTTCTCCTCCTCCTCCTCCCCCGCCCTCCTCCTCCTCCTCTCCTCCTCCTCCTCCTCCTCCTCCTCCTCCTCCTCCTCCTCCTCCTCCTCCAATACAAAATTCTGATTCTTGCCTTTCTTGTGATTGTTAATCGATGCTGTTGTAGTGTCTCTTTGATCTTTGTCTTTCCATCTTCTCCTGGGTCTGCCTCCTGTTCTTTGACCTTCTCTTTTTGTCTATTCCATTCCTAACCAATGTTTAAAATGAATTCTTAAGAGTCGTTTAGTTATTGGGCCATATCCTCTCCTGTTTTATATAGCTCAAAAATTCTTTCCTTTGTCCAGAGAAGCGAGTGCAAGATTCTTCTTAGCCACCTTGAAACTTACTTCAGTTTTGTTTCTTATTTGCCCACCAGCGATGCACAAACAGATGGAGCAAGATCAGAAGCGATTTGGCCAAGCTGCCTGGGCCTCTGCTTCTCCAAGATTAGAAAACTTAAAATATCTGCTAGCAAAAGAAACCCTTCAGCACATGAGAGCCAGAGAATTGGGCCTGAAGCACAAAACAGTTGATATCAGAAAGCAGGTAAGGCTGTTTCTCCCACTCCCCTCCGTCATATGCATCCATCATCATCGTCGTCTTTTAATGACCCCATAATCCCTTGCGGGGTGGAGTCTGGGCAACTGAATGGACCTAGGTTTTTACTGACCAGATGCCTTTCCTGTCACCGATGTGGAGGTTTTTTTTCAGTAGATATATTCTCATTGTGCCCAGAGAGAGAAATATCTACCTCTACCTAGGATCGAACTCACAGCCTCCTGATTGTAAGGCGAGAACTCCACCTTTAGGCCACTGCACCACTCTGTCATGTGCATCCATACTCTGGCCAATCCAACAGGCTTTGTGACAGACAGAGTGTCCAGTTGCTGTAACGGCATCGAAACTGGAAAAAATGGGCAGAACACCAATACAATGACATGCTTGCTAGACTAAAATTAATTGCTCAGGAAAAGTTTGTTCAGATGCTTCCTTGAGGATACTCTACATTCAGATTTATGTATTTATGGTCATGGACCAAAATCCAATATAAAACGTCCACAACAACCAGTGCAGTAAAATATTAGAAAAGTACATCTGGAGTAATATAACTAACCTTAATTACTCAGACTTTCTTTATTGCATTTTCATGATAGATTAATATCTCGCCAACTTCTTGGAAGTTTCTGGGGATTTATTGCCTAATAATGAGCGATCTTCTTGAAACCCAATAGGAAGGTCAATCTGATTTCCATCAGGAGACTTATTTCAGAGCACCTCTTCCCACAACCTAGAATTGCAATATAAATTTGAGGATCATCATCACATTCCTACATGCCAGATGACCTCCCCTTATACAGGTGTTAAAAGGAGGGGGGAGGAAGACCAACTCTCGGAGACTTCAAATTTCAAGTCCTACCAGCTAAACCTCTCATCCCCCGTTCCCTTGCAGCTGAAACTGATCTCAAGGAAGAGTCATTACAAATTCCAACCTGCCAGGCAGTCCAGCAAGATATGATGCTTGATAGTATTAAAAATCATCAAGAGGTCTAAAAGGACCAGAAGAAATGTCCTACCTCCATCTAGGTCCCAACAATGTCATCTAGGACAGCGGTCACCAGCCTTTTGGACCTCAGGGACCACCAAACTCATAATTTTAAATCCCGCGGACCACTAATATGAATTTTGACTGACGGGTGGCTTGCTGACATTGGTAGGAAAGTTGGTCCCATATCCCAGAGCTGCATTAGTCACAGGACTGGCCCTTTGGTCATCCCAGAGTAGAAAAAGCTTCACAGAGACCCTGGAAAATCCCCCCAAAAGTCTGCAGGAAAATTCCCCACCCCGTTTTCCTACCGATTGATCATTCTTTATTTGGGATCTCAGAATATCGTCTCCAGCTCCGTTCTCAGGGGGAGGAGAGAGAGAGAGAGACGTTTGGCTTCGTGCAAGGAAAGCAGCAGAAGCAGAGAAAGTCTTTCTTTCTCTCCCCCAAACTCCACCAGAAATGAGTCTTTATGAGACTTGTCACACCGGGGCAACCTCTTGGAGCAGGATGCCTTGCAGGGTCCCAAAGATTCATTTCTGGCAGAGTTTGGGGGAGAGAAAGGAAGACTTTTGCTGCTTTCCTTGTGTGCAGCCAAAAGCAGAAGAAGAAAGAAGCGGAAAGAAGCAGCCCGGTGGCCAGGCCAGGTGTGTGGGGCGAGTGGGGCAAGTTCCCCCCCTCCGCCCTTTCCCCCCTCCTCTCAGTACCTCGTGTTGTTTGCAATGCAAGGGACACAAGCTTTGTATCCCTTGCATTGCGGGCCAGGTGGGCAGTGCAGCCTTGTGTTCCCGCACAGCCTGGATTAACCACTTTGGGGGGTGCTTTGGAGATGACATTTCTCTGCGGACCACCAAAATTTTCTCACGGACCACCAACGGTCCCCGGCCCACCGGTTGGTGACCACTGGTCTAGGACAGCACCCAAAGCCACTTCTGTCCTGAGTCTAATTCCTTACTGCAAAGGATCCCGTAACCTCATTTCTTCTCGAGTGCTATAAAGTTGTCCGCCATTATTATCTTCACCTTCTTTCCTCCCAGTGCCTCATTTTGCATGTAATATTTGTGGCCTTAATAACATTTCCTGTTTTGTTTGGAAACTTCCCAAGATGGAGATGCTCAGTGAGCAGAAAAATGATGTGGCTCAAGTGGAAAAACTGGAACTAGAATATTACGAAACCCAGTTGGAGCTGTATGAGGTACAGTTTGAAATACTGAAGAATGAAGAAATGTTGCTGGTTACGCAGCTGGAGACGTTGAAGAGGCAAATCAAAGGTGAGGACTGAAGACAGGATATATTTATTGCCTGCGCTTTGCATTTTAATCTGAACCGGGCTATTTCTTGTTGGCACTGGAACTAAAACAGGAGGATTTGCTTCCTTTGCTGCATTTCTCCAAGTTCTACAATGCAATAAATGTATTTATTGAGGAGAGAAGATAAAAGTTTGAAAAAAAAACATGTCAGAGAAAATTGCAGTGGGAAATAGATCACATTTACCTATAGAATCTACCATTTAAATCTGACTGTTCTGAGTTTAAAGAATTCTTTTTAAAAATCATAGTAAAGAAACTACAAAAAAAGGAGGTTTTTAATTTTTCAGTCTGCTAATTGTGGCCCAGCCTTAAATCACTGAATTATCTAATTCCTCAAGTCCCAAAATGCTTTTCCAAAAGATAATTGGATTTCTTGGGTTTTTTTTCCTTTGAAAACATTTCGCTTCTCATCCTGAAGTTTCTACAGTTCCTCAAAACTGAAGAAGCTTCTTGGATGAGAAGTGAAAAGTTCTTAAGGAAAAAAAATCCAAGAAAATCCAGTTGCCTTTTGGAAAAGCACTTTTGCAACAACCATGATCTGGATGACTGAGAATCTCTATAGACATAATTCCCCAGGTATTACTGATACAATCAGAATGTAGCAACAAACAAAATAGATCTTCCTCCAGCAGCATGAATGAAAGAGGTTGAAACAGGAGAGATAAGGATGAAATGTCACAATGCAAGCCCCGCCCCTTTTGTAAATATATCACGATTGTACCCACCCTTCGCAGTTGCCACTGTCTCCAGTTACAGTGGATGCAAATGGAAAACCAGTCATTACTCCTGGTATTGATCCAGTAAAGGTAAAGGTTCCCCTCGCACATACGTGCTAGTCGTTTCAACTCTAGAGAGCGGAGCTCCTCTCCGTTACAAAGCTGAAGAGCCAGCGCTGTCCGAAGACGTCTCCGTGGTCATGTGGCTGGTATGACTAAACGCCAAAGGCGCACGGAACACTGTTACCTTCCCACCAAAGTGGTCCCTATTTTTCTACTTGCATTTTTTCATGCTTTCAAACTGCTAGGTTGGCAGAAGCTGGGACAAATAATGGGAACTTACTCCGTTACGCGGCGCTAGGGATTCGAACTGCCGAGCTACCAACCTTCCTGATTGACAAGCTCAGCATCTGAGCCACCGCGTCCCTCTCATTGAGCCATTAGGCACTAGATATTCTATTAGTGGATCTTGCTCTTGAAGACTTCTGGTTGCTTACCTTTCACCCCAGGTTTTCAACTGACATTTCTCCAAGAGTTGGGGGCAATAGGCTGACCCCGTAAACCACTTAGTGAGGGCTTTAAAACACTATAAAGTGGTATATAAGTCTAAGTGCTATTGCTAACGATGAGGACAATCAGCCAGTGGAACAGAAGTTATGGGTGCTTCATTACTGGAGGTTTTTAAGAAAAGACTGGACAACCACCTCTCTGAAATGATAAAGGGTTTCCTGCTTGAGCAGGGGATTGGACTAGAAGACCTCCAAGGTCCCTTCTAACTCTGTTCTGATTGATTGATTGATTGATTGATTGAGCTAAAGGACAACAACTATCAGCAAATGTCTGAGTTTTCTAGTAAGGCAGCAAAGCTGGTAGGAGACGCGGGGTTGCATATTTTACTCATTGAAATCCTTGCCCCTTCCATAGAGATCCAGGATGAAGTAATTTACTATGACACCTGTGAAAACTCTGAGGAGTTAGAAGCCATGGATCGGGCCCTGGAATCAAGCAGTGCCTCTTCTTCTGAAGTGGCACAGCTCCGGCAGAAGACCCAGCAGCTGGAGACCAAACGAGGGATTATTTGCGCCAGGAGAGCTTATCTCAGGAACAAGAAGGTAACTAGTCCAGAAAAATCTTTTATGAGTTGGTGTGCACTGCATTGTTATAGGCCACCTCAGCCGGCCTCGGAAACCATTCTGAGGGGAGAAGGTCTACCTCTCTACCAAATACTTAAAAACTAAAACTGCCATGCAAGAAACTAGGTGCTAAGTTTTTAAGACCATTCCCCATTGTGAGAATCATCAACCTGGTCTCAGCGGAATTGAAGCTTCAGCTAAAGTCATTTCGAGAGTTGACAAAACCTTTGACAAATCTAGAAAATCTGTTGAGACTTGGGATGTGTCATGCCCCTGTCGGAGTCTGAATCCGAGGAGGAAGACAAACAGCTGACAGGGAGTGGGAGTGTGGCTCCGTTGGCTGTGGAGGAAACTGGGGAAGGGCAAAGTCCGGCTGGGCAGAGATAGAACAAGGGAGAGGGAGTTCAGAGGAAGACCCAGGCCCACCCCCACTTCATCCTAGGGCATGCAGGGAGGAACGGAGAAGAGAGCAACGTGGGTTGCATGGCTTATGGGGAAGGAAAGGGCCCTGGTTCCCTTCATCAGTCACAGCTGGGAAGAGAGTTTAAAAGAGATGCATACTGAGTGTGGCAGCTGCTGGGAGCAAGAATTCCAAACTGTGTTGAGTTATTGCCGTGCCTTCAGGTCTGGAATTCTTGCTCTTGCAATTACCTCATTTTTGCCTTGATTGGACTTATAGTTACAGTTTTTGTTGACCAACAAGAAGGTAACCAGGACATTTGGGGCAAAGTTGGAGCTAATAAAGGGATTCTTATTATCTGACTGTGTTGCTTTTGTGCCACACCCCGGGTAATCACAGGATGCTTCTAGATTCTTCTTGAAAAGCAGAATTTAAGATTCCATCTCTGCTGTGGATTTCCTTCCTTGGGAAGACAGCATCTCCTAGACATAGCATCTCTAAACTATAGGTAGTTCAGATGTTGTTGAACTACAACTCCTAGTGTAATCATCCATATTGTCATGAAGGAAAGTTCTCGGGAACCAAACCAATCAAAAGGATTGGAGGATCACAGGCTGTTTGAGGATGGCTGAATTTGGATCCCTGTTACCCATATCACCAGGATTTCAGACCCTGTAGCTCGTGTTGTTGTGTTGTTGTTTTTAAATGTGTGTAAATCAAATACTAGGACCATAATTCATATATTAGAAAATGGTCTAAAAATATGGACTTGGGAATTGTTGGTTCTTTTTGAACGGAATCTGCACAGCTGTAATGTATGTGTTCTGCAAAAGAAGGCTTGTTGGACTTCTCTTAGCCTGGTATTGGGGATGGTTGCACAATTATTCCTTTAATTAAGAAATAATTATTAAGCAAAGTGGGGGCAGAGGGACAGCATCTCCCTTGGGTCAGGAGAGAGGATCAAAGGCTTCAAGGAGTCCTTTGTTAACCTACTGCTGATAAACAGGGGCTAAAGTACATATAACCAGTTAGCAAGAGTCTGTATGTAATCTAACTTCTTTCCCCATGCAATAAATCTAACTAATGAGAATGAGTTGAGAATCTGTTTTTCTTGGTTGGAAGTCACCATTAGACTCCAGCTTTAAGACTTGTGGACTTCAACTCCCAGAATTCCTCCTCCAGTCATGTTAGCTCAGGAATTCTGGGAGTTGGAATCCACAAGTCTTAAACTTGCCAAGTTTGAAGACCTTTGCATTAGAGGTTCTATAGAAATTCCCACCCACCCCCAACATGACGCTGACCTACCAAGCTCCTGATTATCATCAGTTGGGAGAAATTCTCCAGAATTGCAAAGAAAGATCTTCTTTCAACCCAACCTGCAGAAGGCAGGTCTTAGGGCTGGAACAATTTTGTGCTAAGTTACGTCTTTTCCCCACAATCCTTTGCACAGGGGCTTGAATTGTATTTTTTAGAAAGTTCAGTAGGAAGTGAATAGAAAAGCTATGAACCCAATATTCTGATTCAATGGATTTAATTTCTGCCTGAATCTTCAGATTCCGGCTAGTGGAATTTTTGCACTGGTTTCTTTCCTCATAGGACCAATGTGAAGAGAGCCGGCGTTTGAGGCTCCAGCAGGCCCAGGAGACCACACGCTACTTCGAACAGCATCACAACATCCAGATTGTACGTATTAAGAAGTAAAGAGAGAGAGCATTCCGTTTCCAGTAATATCAGTGTGGGTCGATAAAATGTGGAATTGTTCTTCTGAAGGCAGTCTAGGTAGCCCTCATACTACAGGATGGCTACTGCTATTCCAAAACCAGAAAGACACCTATTAGGTGGAAGCTGTACTACCCCACAAATTAATGGGGTGTAGATGTGGTATAGATTGGTATATATGGGGTATAGATTGGCATGATGGCTCAGTGGTGAAAGATGCTGAGCTTGTCAGCTGGAACTGGCAGCCCAGGTTCAAGACCCGAGCACTGCATGACGGGGTGAGCTTCCGTTCCTTGATCTTGCTCACCTAGCAGTTCGAATGCATGCAAATGCGAGTAGATAAATAGGTACCACTTTGGTGGGAAGGCAACAGCATTCTGCACACTTTAGAGTATAGTCATGCTGGTCACATGACCACAGAAATGTTTTCGGATAATGCTGGCTCCCTCAGCCAAGAAATGGAGATGAGGTCCATACCTTAGAGTTGGACACAACTGCACAGGGAAAACCTTTATCTTTTTAGATTGATTCCATTTATATGTTGCTCTTAGTTATAGACTTTTGAGTTTCCTGGAGCTAAGAACACAATCTTACTTTGTCCATTTGTAAGCAAGTTTCATTGTGGGCACTTTGGTTTTTTTCAAGCGAATACACACTGAGTGTGCTTATGAGTGGGTGAATATCATGGGAAATTCTAACACAACCATCATCATAATATTTATTTATGGTCCCAGACCAATAAATGAGAATCTAAACAAGGTAAACAACTGTTAAAGGAAGAGATATTTATATAGACTCGTAATGAACTGTATATAAATTCTAGGGCTGGACAGCACTTATTTTTTTAAAAAAACGTTTTATGCAAAATTGCAAATATAGCAACTGTCTATAACTCTTTAAAACAGCCACACCTTTTCCTGGGATTGCACATCTACCTTTCACAGCTGCTTTCAGGTGTGGCACATGGGTTGAGGTGTGGCACACTGGAGTTGAGACTCCAGAGCAGTTTTTGGAAATTAGATCAATACTCTTAATTTCCTCTTCTCTTC